GTAAAAATATTGCATTTCACCCTGTTAGGATATCACTCCGTTTCCGTCCTCCGGCTAAATTATCCTCAAATGATGATTTGTCTGTCATGAAGGAATGAAGTCAGTTTGAATGAGAAGGGGAAGAAAAAAATATAAGATACAAATTTGGAATGTTCTCTATCGTTCACTGTATCTCTATGTTTAACAAAAATACCTATCAACTGTTAATAATGCACGACCATTATATAACTCGAGTTTCATTCGATAATGTGATCGAATGGCGTTATTTTTGGCATAATGACAACAAAAACCAACAAGAAACACACATAAATTTAGGTTTCCAACATAATACATACTGTAGGCATCACTTTGGCGCAAGTCGATTTTTGCACTCTCGCAAACAATGCCTCCTGTTCGTCCAAGCGTGAACACATACCAAACAAAATTGATACCAAATGATTTGAAATCAAACACTCTTTCATAAAATGTATAATAATTTACTGTTCATAGATGATTTTTTAAATAATTAGCAATTTTCTAGGTGTAAACTTTTTTTTGACTCACACGGTATAAACATTGTACACCCACAACAAAAAGTGAGTCATTTGACACATTTAAGCATAATTTTCGTGAGTCAGGTGTAAATTGACTCATTAGTAACAACCAATGAGTCTCTATTGACTCATTTATATTTCACCAGTGTGTAAATCATGAGCTGACGCATTTGCAAAATGCTTCGACTGACTCACATGGTCGTAAAAAATGAGTCAAGATCGACATAAGAGCATTTTAGAAGAAAAAAGTGAGTCAACTTGAAAGTGAGGCTGTATGCATGCGCGCGCATGCTTTCGTGACGTCATCCAAAATGCGCATTCTCGAGCCATATTTGAATTCCCGATCGACGACGCGACGTCGCCATCTTATATCTTGGATTCAGAAGAGTTTTGACTGCAGCTAGTGAAAAATTGGTACGCATAATTATTCATATGGTTTTAAACGATGATTTTTATGACTGGATTCGTGGGCTGAATCTTCTGATTATTATACAAATGATGCATGCGTTCATTTTACGATATCCGCACTCGAGTTGATGAGGCTGTGTGTAACTTAACTATCACTATGAACATGACTGACAATGAGAGCGGACAAAATATACAGTTCCTCAGGTAGACAAAGGAACATCCCTTACTGCTATTATGTAAAACTGTGTAGAACAGGTGTCACATGCATATTCACCTTTTTACATAATAGCTGTGAAGGGATGTTCCTTTGTCTACCTGAGGAACTGTATATTTTGTCCGCTCTCATTGTCAGTCATGTTCATAGTGTATAGATTCTACTGTATCGCACGAAGCCGTGTCGAATGAAAACATGCATGATCTTGCATCATTGTTTTATACAACGAAACTCCTAGATCCTTGTTATTTGATGTAAAACGAATTAATTCAAGATTGTTTCGTGACAGTATGGGTGACAAATAAATCTCAAGTTAAGGCTTAATTTAGTGCGTACAAAGTAGATTTTTCAGATTCGGGTAGCGGGACCACCGATTACATCGCTAAAATGTGATATTTTAGGATATATTTTCCATTGCAAATGTGGACAGTGACTCTGGCATGGTATGGTATGTGTGTGATAGGCCTAGGGAGTAGGGGGGTCTATGTCATGATACACCCACAACAAAAAGTGAGTCACCCTTACTCAAATTGATGAGTCACTGGTTTGTCCGTACAGCGAAACACTTGAAGGATCATGTGAGTCACTATGACTCGATACAAATGAGTCTCTTAGATAAATAAGACTCATTTGTATCGAGTCATAGTGACTCACATGATCCTTCAAGTGTTTCGCTGTACGGACAAACCAGTGACTCATCAATTTGAGTAAGGGTGACTCACTTTTTGTTGTGGGTGTATCTAGAAATTCATTGGTTCTATGATCAATATCTTGATTAAGTTAGTTAATATCGAAATCAACAGACTCGTGAGTGTTTCGTTGAATTCGTTGACATCAGTATTAGGTACTCTGTAAACACAGCCAACTATTATAGGTTTCATTTTCTCTTGATATATTTCAATAAAGACAGTATCACAATGATTACGACTAACTGATAAATTAGAACACAGGTTATAATCAATATCATCTCTTATATATAAGCTACTCCTCCCCCATGTGTGTTGAGTCTATCAATATGAATAAGAGAATATCCGTCAATATTAAACATATTAACTGAAATGTTGTTTCGAAACCATGTTTCAGCTGTTTCAACTGTGAATTTGTAGTCTATTGAACTAAGAAGAATTAAATAAGTCGTAATTGGAATTAACATGAAATATAGAGAAATTATCTGGAGTAGATAAATATTCTTGTACAAAATCATCAGAAAACATATATTTGCAGGAATCATTGGTTACATTTTTAGGTTGTAATGTTTGTGTAGACTTTAGCTCGTTATTAAGTTCATTCAGACTAAGAGGATTTATGGACAGAGAGTGATATTTGTCTTCATCGATACATTGCTCTAAGTGAAAGAAAGTAAATATAGATAACAAAAACACATCGTTGACTAGGTGATGATTGAAAGGAAATATTTCAGTGTTGCAATTAATACAAAATGCATCGTCTTTGAATGATTGTAATTTGTAACAGTTCTGACAGAGTAGTTAATTACCCCTCATGAGAAGAAAAAAAAGAAAACTGCTGCATAAAGTGTACCAAAAAAAAAATAGGAAAAAAATACGAAGGCCAAACAAAAAGGTTACCCAAACAAACACTAAAATATTTGAAGTCTAAGAGAGCGATAAATGTATACCCCTCATAAAGGTTTTTTTTAAACACACACACACACACAAAATGCTGCACAACGAACCCCCAAAAAAGAAACAAGGTAATATAAAGACTAATAATAAGATGTCCAAACAAACACGTACATATTCTAGGTCTACGAGAGCAGTGAAATATTATGGCCTGAAAAATATGAGATCACATTAGCTATTTCTCCAAAATCACACTCACTGAAAATATACTTAAATTCATAAGATAATTTATGGATACGTCATTAGAGTTCAAAAACAGGAAACGGATCTAATAAAGCCGACGTAGTAAACGGATCAGTGTCTACTACAGGTGTGTAGTAAAAGGCATATGGTGTCAAATGGTGTGAACCACGCATAGTTACCAACGTTCCTGATGGGGTTGACAAACTTTGTCGTTGTATACGATCCATTGTGTCAGAGATAAAGGAACTCCATAAATGAGATTTGCATAATTAATCGTGGGAAAAGATCGGTGTTTACAAACACAAAGCACATGGCTAAAAGAGTGATTGTACACGTGGATATAAAATACGAGTTGAAGAGGTTGAGAAAATCGGTAGCAGCATATATATAATACATACAGGGTTGATTGCTTATGGCAGAGTTCACCTTCACCCCTGGAATAACAGCCACGACGCTTGACGTAATTGTGCTCTCGGTCTGTACTCCAGAATAAGCTTGGTGCCAATAAGACGAACTCTTGTCGACATTTCCTTTAAATTGCTTTCTCAACTCGTAGGCTGCCTTTTTGAAGTGGTTGTAGCGTACTCGTTTGAGTGCCGGGGGTAGATCTATGCAAACTGAAATAGCCGGCTTCGGTCCTGGTCGTTTGTGCGATTGATAGAACGCTTTGAGGACAGCATCACGGTCGAATATTGACACGAATCGAACAATGATCAGGTCTAGGTTGGACGGTCGAGCGTTGGGAGATACTAAGGACTTTTAGATTTGCGTGGACTGATACGTGTGACGTCCATTCAAGGCAGTGCATTAAAAGGACGTCGATCGTAGCAATCCACGTTGTCTTCGTGCAAATCTAAAACTCCCTAATGTTAACGTCGGTTTCCGCGGCGAACGATGAGCATTGATGAATTGCATTTTCTGGACTTGATCTTCAGGTAGGCTATGCCGAGTTCGACGATTCCCTTTCGCTAGAATAGCGTGTGCGCTAAGGAACACCGTAAAGCAGAAGGTTCTGTTTACGATCGTGGATCTCCATGCAACTAATGAGTCACGCATCCTTTAATTAGATTAATAGGTCACATTCCTTATGTGCGGTTTTTGACATAGCAGTGAGGGTCACACGTTCAAGTGTATCAATTCCCGCCGCTGAATATGCCGATGATGCTTCAACTTCACGAAGAGAAGATTTGATATTTTATATTTCATCACGAACTGATAGTAAAGTTATTGTAACACAACCAAGTTTGTCAAGTACAATCGAAGAAAATTTGTCAAATTGGATTCAGAATTCCGACACCGCTTCTTCCGTATAGCGTACGTGTTAGAAATGGGCGTGTCACTGTGTTTGCCCGTAATGGTCACGGATTTAGATCTGGTATTTGATATTTTCAGTACACAGATGGACACAAATGTTCAATAAAAGCAGAAAATCCAAATAATCAAGTAAAAATTTACCTTACGATGTTAGCAGATATTTCAAAAGTAGCTTAGTTGTGGTAGATTTGGATTCCTGGTAGCGCCCTCTAAGATATGTTTGGATACATAGACCGGATCTGTCTGAAAATACAATATTATTATCAATAGTTAGCCAGCATACTAATGGACCCTACTCTTCTTATCAGTGGAATTAACCAGTCAACACGATGAGATATATAAAGAGCCGGCTTATTATTTATGTGTTCTGCATTGCTATTCCCATCTACCTTAACATATGCTCTACGTCGTATCGAGTAGAAAAAGTCACCAAAGGAAGATTACCACCAAGAGCTGGTTTTTCGAATGGGAAAAACAGAAATGTCAACGCTGTGGGATATAATGTCACGGCACAAGATATGCTACCGGAACATAAACCAAGTCCGACTCCATTGCGCGGATGGATGAAAAATGTACACTGGGAACCAGGAGCTGAGCTGGATATATATGACTTTTTAATCAATCCTGTCGATAAGTGCAATGCTGGAAAAGGTAATATCACATTACTTGTCTTAGTCAAATCAGCACCAGGTCATACTGCACGCAGGAATGCTGCCAGACAGACGTACATCGGTGGAGCCCGGTGGAGCCGCAAAATATAATGTGTCCACGAGGTTGTTTTTCATCGTGGGAGATTCCGAAGCACAAGACGAGAGAGAAAACATTCAGGAAGAGGCCCGAAGACATAGCGATATCCTGAAGGTGGGCTTTCACGATAGTTATTACAATCTTACCGTCAAGCTCGTCATGGGATTTAAATGGGCCTTACAATTTTGCAATAACAGTGAATTCTTGATGTCAATGGATGACGATGTCATGGTTGATATCGTGACCCTGGTCAACGACCTGGACGCTTTACCCCCGAATGATCACTCTCAATTCGTGCTGGGATCTAGGGTAGTGGGGTTCAGTCCAGAACGTAACGTAAATAATAAATGGTACATACCAGAGGACATCTACCCTGGTAAGACGTGGCCTCCATTTCCATTCGGGCATGGGTATGTTATGTCACATCACGTAGTCGAAAAACTGTATCTGAAATCCAGAGAATACCCAGCGAGAATACCGTTTGACGATGTTTATTGCGGTATACTATTGGACAAGTTAAACATCAGAATTGTTGACCGACATAGATGGTTTAAAGATCGCCACCCGCAAAAAACAGGGAACGATTATTCAAGATTGAGCTATCAGCGCAGGAAATGGAAGAAGCTTGGAAATTTTTTGAAGGAGACTTTGAAAAATAGAATTCTCGGCCCGTCTTACACCGTGGACCAGCATGCTTTATATACAGAGTAGCAATTGATCCGAATCAGTCGCAAGTTGGCAGTACGTCTCCTATCTTTATTTAAATAGCTGTACATAGCTGGCATTGATATCGTTAGAATATCGATTTTAAAATAAAGTAAAGTATAAAGAAAAATAAAGTACAGAATTAAGTAGAATATCAAATAGAAATACAAATATAATATTAAGGTAGAATGCAAGATACAATAAAGAATAGACTATACAATAAACTAAAAAGCAGTATATTTCAGAGTATATTCAAGTCTATGATGGTTGATGTAACAATTTCTTTTTTTCAAATTAAAGTTTAGCAATATTTATTTATTCTATTTATTATTTATTCGGCACTTTCAAGAAATATCACAATGAAACAATATAATCAAGGTGATTACAATATTTGAATGACAAAAATTATACAAATACAAATTTTTGTAGCAATATTCTGAGTGCAAAAGATGGCGGCCAGGGAAGAGGAGAGCAATCTTAAATGCCCGATTTAAATTGATAAATTAGATTAAAGATATAGCTATCTACACACTTGGCGCTATTTATGCCTATTGAGGAAAACTTGCAATGTATTGTGTATTTTTTATTTTAGTTTCATTCTAGTGTTTATTACAACTTATGAATAACATGTATCATTTTCCAGATATCTTGAAGAACAATTGTAATATGTTGGATTGTTCCCCTACATTGTTTTACATATACATGTATATCATTGTATCATACTAAATTCAAAAGAGGGCCGCAAGAATAATATTGAACAAGACATATGACACACCGTCGGCTGATTTGTTCACAAGTCTTAAATGGATGACACTAGACAAGCGGTTTGAGTTAAGTCGCGTTATGATGATATATAAATGCGTTCATAACTTAGCACCTTCTTACCTTCAGGTAGGCTTAATCAATCCTAATGATGTACATGAGCATCATACAAGGCAAATAGACAGTGGATGTTTACGTGTGCCTAGATTTCACACTGATTGTTATAAGTGTAGCCCAATTGTTTCTTCCATATTTGAATGGAATAAGCTAGATAATTCATTGAGAACGGCTTCCTCTGTCAATTCATTTAAGAGATTGTTTAAACAAAGTTATAATTTGTGAATGGCTCAGCCGTACATACACTACGTGCATGTTCTGTAATATTTATATGACTTATTCACATAATTGCGACTTAATTAATATTTTCCTATTGACATTACTGTTTACTAGGTTAATGATACATGTTTATTTTGCAAACGAGTATTATTTTTGTAACTGTTCTGTATAAATGTTATAAACGATGTAAATATGTTCATTCAGGGCCCCATGGAAGACCACTACTTGTTGGTGAATGGGCTACCCTGTCAAAAGATTAGAAATACATAAATAAATAAATAAATAAATAAATACTAGATGTGCAATGATGATTTAATGAGTATAAATTTAGTTCTATGAAGTTTGAATCTTTGGGGTTTATAATACATCGGACACAAACAATGATGATACTGAAAACCGTACAATTGTTCTGTTCATTTCATGACACATAGCAGATATAGGAGAATTGATGTTCTTTTTTTTTAAAATTGGATTTGAAGTTATAAAAGTGCAGCTACCGTGTGGTAATATAGGCCAGTAATTCAATATCCAGATCATTATGAATTGATGTATTACAAAAAACATTACATATGAAGCTTGTAAACATCAGCCTGCTTATGTGGAGAAAAATAACTGATGCTAGACACTACAACGAGAGATTGGCTTCAAGTGTACTTAACCATATGCACCCGTCCTCAATAGTTTCAGGTGGTGGTCCAACTCTCCTGAATTTCAAGTGTTATTTATTTGTTTTTAAAACCGCCTGTACTATTTCTACAGGTTTGGAGAAATAATATTACCAGGTGGTGGAATTTGTATTCATATTTAGCATGAGCAGGTGTCCATGTGTACTTATTTCTCCACAAAAAAACTTGTTAAATAAAATTTTAAAATCCAAATTTCAATGGCCAAGTTTCATCATTTCACGGCAAATTGTAATGCATGGTAATATATGCTTGCTTGGGGGTCATATATTCAAATGATAATAATAATGATAATAAGTTAGAATAAACTACAACAGTAGCGTACGCAGGATTTTTTTCAAGGGGGGGGGGGTTAACATTTTAAAATCGGGCAACCACTCAGCCTTGAAGATTTGACTTTTTGCTCCGTTGGGGGGGGGGGTAAGGTCAACTTTTTTAGGTTAGCTATTGGTATGATTTTTTTTTTAAATTTTTTTAATTACAAAAAAAAAAAAAAAAAAAAAAGGGGGGGGGTTTCTTCAAAATACACACATTAAAAATACCAAATCCCCCCCCCCCCCCCCCCCCCTGCGTACGCGCCTGACCTACAACATAATGCATTTAAGCGTTTTAATGAATTATGAGGAGAAATGCAATGTATTCTTCCATCTATGTTATATTCCAATGCTTGTACCATTGTAAGGTAATTACAGAATAAGTATTCAATAACGTTACTTGTATAGCGCATATCACTAACACAAACAAAGTCCCTATGCGCTTTAATAGGAAAGAAGGAAATAGAGATAGGGCACAATATAAATGAACATTTAAAAAATTCTAATAAAATTCTAAAATCCAAATTTCAATAGTCAAGTTTTATCATTTCACGGAAAACTGTGTTTTAATTCGTATAATAATGCTTTGAAGTTTAATTCTGTGTTTAACAAGTAATTAAAAACAGCTAAAAAGAGAGCAAAATTTATTAGAAGTCAGCATGACTTGGTGTAATTCTTGAGCTCAACTCTTTATTTTAAAAGACGTGATATTGCCAATTGCAATATGGATTGGTCTTAGTTTTGTTTTTGTCTCTAAATATTATATCATCAAAGACTTTGAGTAAATGCATATCGGAACCTTATTAATTGTCGGAGAGGAACATCTCATCTATTAAAAAAAGCATCCTTTTAAAGAGAGAGAGGGTCATCTGAGTCATCAGCCTATTTCTCGAGAGGGAGAGAACATGTTTGAGGGTAGGCCAATATTTATTTATCTGATGCGACACTACGCGACTCTTGCTGAAAAAAAAACTCTTCAATAGGAAGAGCGCCATCTGTAGGCTTTTTTTTCATTGACGACTAATGTCCTGCAACCAACTCATCCCCACTTTGCCTTGATTTTAAATCATGATTACTAATTTAAAATCGTGAAAATGCGGAATTTAAACTCGTTGACACCCTCTCTCTCCCTCCCTCCTCTCTCTCTCTCTCTCTCTCTCTCTCTCTCTCTCTCTCTCCTCATTGGAACAAGCATGCGATCGCTAATCTTTTCTAAGTCTCAATATTCCCTTTCCTACCCTTTCTTCCTCTTCCTCCTCCTACCCTTTACTTCCTATGCCTCTCCCCCTCTCTCTCCCTCTCTCTCTCTCTCTCTCTCTCTCTCTCTCTCTCTCTCTCTCTCTTTCTCCCTTTTATTTCATACTGATGCTTTCACAATCTTGCAAATTGCCAAAGCCTTAAATGTATAATTTGAAATGTGGTGTGTGAATGATACCAATCATGGGAGCAACTGAATCAGATTTAATTGTGCAAAATATTGTTTGTTTCTTTATTGATATATCGATCATTACCATGGCAACCTTTTAACCATGTTTTTTTGCGAAAATAATTGTTATGCACTACCCTACCTTTTACTAAATTGGTCCAAAGACAAAACAAAATCTGCATTTGACCTACAAAGCATAATTTGTTTAATTCATTGTAGCATCTATTTCATTATATAATTCCAAGATTTGGGGTCGTGGTCGAGAGGTTACGTCGCCGGACTGTTGATCACAAGTCGGGGTTCGAGTCCCACCGCGGCACTAATGTCCTTTGGCAAGACATTGATCTACATTTGCCACACTCAACCCAGGTGATGTAAATGGGTACCTTGAAATGCTAAAGCGCTGTAATGGCAGCACAGCTAAAACCGGGGTAATAATCTCCAAGTTTGGAAGCGCTTAGAGACTTAATCCTGATTCGCGCTATATAAAAGTATTAGTATTATTTTTATTGGTTTCTCTTATTGTCTCTGTTTCTGTTATTAATGAAAATACACTAGCCATCTGGCTATGCAATTTACACCACAACATTTAATTCATCGGAATTTCAAACAAATATATTGATAATTATATATTGTATAAGTTCAATATATAATTTGAATGCAAGTATGGTTATAATATTCAGATTTCTGTATACATGTATGTGCCAAGTAATCTGCCACAATGTACAACGATGGTGACACGACAAATGCTCCGGCGGCGGTTGCTCTAGGCTTTATTTCATCAGGGATGTGGGGTTGGGGTTGCATTTGGGTTGGGGGCTGGGTTTGTGCTTGGTGTTGGGGTTAAGGTGCGATGTAGGTTTCCTGACCGGGGTTGGAATCGGGAGTTTGATCCATGTACTGAATTGCCACACGGAGTAATTGTAGCCGGAGCAGGTGTCATAGAAGCACAATTATGCGTTATATGTACAAAACGAATTGAAATTTTACTACCATAATGTTAATACGCGTATGTATTACGTGTAATTTTACTTTGTCACTGATGTATACTTTTTTCTTTTTTTTTAAACTGCAATTCAGCTCTCGGGCCGCGAATGTTTTTTAATGAATTAAAGCATTCTAAATAAATAAATAAATGAAATAACCTTTTTGAATGTGAAACAATGACAATTCACTTTATGAAACTTATGTACAATGTGTTGGGTATTATACATTCAAAGTTTATATTCTGTATACCACTGGTTGTTCATTACTTTAATATTCATTATTATTCATGTTTTCGTTATTGTTTCATGTATTCATTTACTTACTTATCTATTTCAAACTGGCGGTAGGTACAAAATTAGAAACGAGCGTTGCAACTTTTTTAATTGAAAAAGTTCGATTCTTCTGCTTCGAACTATTCTTTTAAGCAATTAAATGAAATGTGAAATTCGAACATTAAATGATTGACCATAACTAATATTTTTTGAACAGATTAAAGTTTTAAAATATATCAAAATTGCTCCGGCTGTAATAAGTGACTATTGTAAGAATTATTAACATTAATTGAAGTTCTATATCATGTTACTTACCAAAAGAGAAATCGAAATCTACTCTTTAAAAAAATCACGTCCTGCATGCCATTCTTGTCATATAAAAAAAAACATAGTTGAAATTACTGTTCTCAGCCATTCAGGTAATTAATTAATACATGTAACACCAAATGTTATAAACAAATCAACTGGATTTTTTCCCGCTTTCGACGCTTAAAGATAAACTTTAGTACTGGTAATGCGATTGCATTGTGAAAGAAAAGGTGTGGAAAGGATCAGAAACAGTTGATCATGTAGCATGCAAGTATTGGTGTGCACTGCAAGGTTCTGGAGTCATCAAAATCATAATAAATTTGACCGAGTCTTGGTAAAGTAACAAGCACTGTACACAGAAAGCTATATATGGGACAACACACATGGTGTCGGGGCTAGTACTACCTTGATTTCCTTATCTTTCTATGCGCATTACTCAGCCAGTATACATTTTCTTCCAAAATTGTTTGACACATGTCATTTATTTGTAATCTTGAACATTCAGTGTAAGTTTCGTTTGATTCTGTGAGAATTAATTTTCTTTTTTTTTACCAGAACTGGAGTTTATCTTTAACGTCCAGTGCGGGACGCTTCATCAGGCCGACTATACCGACGGGTCTTTAAAAGGTTATCAGAGAAGGGCAGTTCTTTTCCTGACGTTCATCGACCGGAGCGCCATGTTCACGGGTCAAGAATCATATGGCGTCAAGACCAGTCGGCCCGATGAAGCTTCCCGGAGTAAACCTGAATCGTCGCAAGCTTAAATGTGTGTTAGTAACTTGGCTTGATGAAGATTCCTTGGTAATCCCTTATAAACTGAGTACTCTCTGGGGAACATCCATTATTATCTTTACGAAGAAAAGGAGCATTATTTTCTCCGGGAATGGATCAATAAGAACGAGTTGAGAAATTAGATCTTCTTCTTCTTCCAAGATGGTGGATTCCTCGTCGGGTTTTCCACCAGAAGATACCAGTTGGGCTATCTCAGACATATCTTCAGGTAAGTCTTGCATTTCTTGGCTTGACGATTGCTCAGCAGGTTGAATGCTACTTACATTGGTCATTACATCACCAGCTTGAACTTCTTTAGAGGACATGTCTTCAGAAGTCACTTTAGATGCATCCAAGTTCTGTGTACTGCTCTCCGGCGATTTGTCAGGATGTGGACTCCTACTTCTATCTGTCAAGTCCTCCTGGGTTTTGGAAGCCATGTCTCCCGTATGCCCATCTCGAGGAGTGTGGTCATTACTTGCTGTAGCTTCCTGAAGTACCTGGTTATCAGTTTGTCCTTTGGTCTGGTCCTCTTCTAGAGAGGCCTCATCTTTAGTAGAGAGCTGCTGATCATTGACGTCTTCTTTTTCATATTCAGCATCGATATGTTCTTCTACTACACCTAACCGGCAGCAAGAAAGCAAACAAATAATTAAGTTATTTCTCAAAACACATCGAATTGGAATTATTATGATTGTGTAGAACTTATCGCAGTGAATTTCAAATTTCTTTTATTTTTATGTTTACCAGGTAGAAGAAGAGAACTTAAAGGCGCTATCTCACTGAGCGGTGAATGCTTTCGAACGTAGCGAATTTAGGGTTTCGCCAGGGTTCGTAAAAGTTTTCAAAAGGTTGCAAGAAAGTTCGCAAACAGTTTTTCTTGTCTTTGTTTCGCAAACAGTTGCAGGCGTTTGCCAAACAGTCGTAAGCGTTTGCAAAACAGTCGTAAGCCTTAATTGCAAACGGTTGTAAGACGACGTCGCTCTTTGTTATCGCCAGTTCTGTTTGTTTCGCCAATGCTAGCGACCACGTTACCATATGGTTCCTTTATAAAAATCGACCCATTGAGTACCAGGAGTTCTCAAAAGGTCTCAAACGTTCACAAATAGTGGCAAAGGATTGGCAAATAGTTGCTAATCTTCGCAAAAACTGTCGCTAACATTTGCTTACAGTCGCTAATAGTCGCCAACTGCCTTTCGCAAACGCTTTCAGAAACATTCACTCAAATGTTGCTAATTGTCGCCAAACGTCACTAAAGGTTGCCGATTTTCGCCAACATTCGTCAGAAAAGTTGGCGAATCAAAATTCGCTACGTTCACAAGCATTCGCCGCTCAGTGAGATAGGGCCATAAGCATTTGTTTGGTTTTTTATTCATTAGGAAAATGCTAACTAAAAGTAGTATGTACCTAAACTCTCTTTTCCTATATTTTGTCTGCATTACGTCACCTTAGTATTAATATCAAGAGTGTAAAAATGAACTTCAGAAAATTAGGTCAATTTGACTCGAAACACATGAACCGTATTATGAAACTACAATTGTTCTTAATGAAATTATATCTTTACCTCCGCTGAGATACAGGTCTGTAAGGTTGACTAAGTTGGCAGCTTGCAGTGCCTTCGTTAGCTCAATCCGTTCATCTTCCCTGGACACACCTCTTCTCCATTGTTTTAGCATATGACGAGTTCCATCACTGGTAACACGATTGAACTTCACATTGGTCATGAGCGCTCTCTGTATATCACCATGTAGGATTCCCAGCTGACCAGCAAGGCTGTCGATCTTGGCTTCATCGTAAAGGTCGTCAGCTATCTGCTGTAATATGCATGCAAAATCATCATCTGGGGGCTCCTCTCTAAATGATTCACAGTAATAACAAAGAAAAAAACATGGAGGCAGTCAGAGAACTTAGGTTTGACGAATCAACTTTAAAATTGATACAAATCTTTACTTAAGTGAAGAAGAAAAAAAGGGTAAAAATACGTTCTTCCGGTAATGAGACTAGAGGATTATTTTATAATATAACTCTAATGAGACTAGGGGATTATGTTATAATATAACTCTAATCAAGAGTATTTTATTCTACTAGTTTCATTACAGAACGTTTTCATTGTTAAACATATAGCAGCTGACTGACACAAATAGACAGCGATCTCATTTAGAGACCATGCTCACATGCTCAAATTATTGATTTAAATTCATTAAAGGATTTCACTTTATTAATGCAGCTAGGATTTTTATGTTTTTGTTGATGAGTTTCAATCTTTTATTCACTTCTGCCTTTTACATAATCACAGGTGGTCACGAAATGTCTCAACATGATTTTGGATTCATAGAACATAAGTGCTGCCGTTCTTTTAGAAGTGCTGTAGGCAGTCTAGCACCACTCATTTTACACACCAAAGTACATTCCGTAGTAGTTTTGTCACTATAAGAGAAATAATGTGTTCATTGTCAATTTTTCATGTAAAGAGTAAAAATATTGCATCTCACCCTGTTAGTAACCCTGTTAGTCCGGTTGAATTATCCTCAAATGATGATGTGCCTGTCATGAAGGAATGAAGTCAGTTTGAAAGAGAAGTGAAAAAAGAAGAATATAAGATACAAATTTGGAATTTTCTCTATCGTTCACTGTATCTCTATGTTTAACAGAAATACTGTTAATATTAATACTTATCAATAAGCATTACATACCTCGAGTTTCCTAGGATAATGTGATTAAATGGCGTTATTTTTGGCATAATATCAACAACAACCAACAAGAAACATACATAAACTAAGGTTTGGGACTATCTTGGACTGTGATAAGCTTGGTATTCTAAGTAATTTCAAAGTAGCAAAAATGGGGTAGGGAGCTATAAAGACCATTATTTGACTTGATAAGCTTCACATTATAAATACTTCACAAAATGGAAAAAATGGGATGGGACTAGTATAGAATAATGTAGAAATTTTAAAAAAAATAAAGGAAAATGAGATTGAAAAAATACAGTCTTACCACTCTGAGCTTGTTTTCCAAAAGCCACCCAGCGAATGAAACTCGATTGATATGTCTCTGCTTTCCTCTTCTGCTCTGCTGATCGTATCTCACTTTCTAGTTGAATTTTGGTTCTCAGCTTCCATGTCCTACGCTCAAGTTGCTCCATAAGCTGTTCCTTATGATCAAGCTCCTTCTTCCAACTTAATTCTATTGACCGTTTTTCCTTTTCAAATCGCGCTCTATCTCCCTCTGTTCCTTTCATTAATTCTTCAGCTTGCTGTCTTAGAGTCGTCTCGTTTCGCTTCTTCTCCTCTAGCATTTTTGTCAAAGTGTCTTCCCGTTGTAGCTTAGACACTAATTTCTTCATCATTTCTTCGTTGTCGGTCTCTAGTCGCTCAACCTGACGTCTTGCCTTCTCTTCTGTCCCCTGTAATTTTTCAGCCATTGTTTCGATACGCAGACCCTGTGATTGTACTTTCTTTTCAAATTCCATCTCCCTCTGCTTGTACGTCTCCATTATCTGTTTTGCTCTTTTCTCGTTTTCCATCATTGCCCTTTCACTATGTTCACGCCTTTCTTGTTCAACCTTCATGGTATCTTGTAGTCTTCCATTTTCACTGACTATGCTTGCGCGACTTGCACGGGACTCGTTGAGTTCCTGCTCTAAGTCTGTAATTCTTCCTTGGAGTAACTTCTTTGCTTCTTCTTCTTCTTTAATGTCTTCTCCGTGTCTCTTCTCTGCTTCTGTGACATCCTTTCTCCCTTGGTTCCATAACCGCTCAAAGCTGGGTAACGAATAAAGCTGTATTAAGTCAGCAAAAATCCCTTCGTCACCTTTTTGAAGGCATCCATGAAGGAGGTCAAGCCACTGCAACCCTTTCTCATATGAGAGAATGTCATTACTGGGAGGTAGGTCATAGATGTCAGTGATCCCGAGCTTTTTTAGTTTATTTTTTGCCTTCTCGATGACTTCACTTTGCCCGGTAGTTTCCATGGCACATATAGGGACGTGACCTATCCAAAAGAAAACGAATCAGTTAAAAGTAGTTGTTTAATCGACTCATGACCTCTATATACCAGACATTTTTTAGGAGGATGGGATGTATTTTTACACCAGAGTAAGGATCGAATTTGTAAATTTCCATTCACATCTTTCAAATATTGCCATTACACGTGCTGTATGCGCATAGAGTATAACACCATTTTCTAGGATTGTAAATAGAACTGGTGAGTGAGAGAAGGATCGACGGGGAGAGACAGGGAAGAGAGAAGAATGATGAAGGAAGGAGACTGCATAATTAAGAGCCGAAATAGGGAGTAAACATCGATAGTCAGGAGATAGTTATACATGTTCAATTATGAAGATGAACATTTGTAATCACATAGGCCAATTATATGATAATACAGGGCTGTACAAAAAGAGGAAAGTATCAGCATGCTTGCACAAGGAAGGGAAAGGTATTTAATTTACAAATTGAACGGACAAAGGCCGTGTGAGAGTTCACGATATCAACTTGATCGAAATTGATGATGTGCAACCAAGGGCTTGATAATAATAATATGGTTTATTGTCCTACCTAGCGTAACGAATTATGGGCAAACTTACCTGTAAACCTCTTGGTTGTCTTGATCCATTGTTGGTACTGGTCGAAAGTAGACGGTCTAATAAAAATGAGGAAATGCACAGATTCAGAATCGTTATTATTACGTGGTGATGATTAAAGAGTTAATAATTTAAAAAATGCACACAATAGTATGGAAGAAGAAAAATCACGTAGGACTACATCTTATTTTGTTATTTTTCTTCAAAAGTAAATTACGGACTTAATTTCGAAATTCATTTCTGGTCAGGGACTAACATTTTTAACTTTTTTATCATTTGTGTAGAACCTGAGTACTACAGGGTGAGTCAGAAAGAATGTCCCACTTTTTAAAAGTTGTATTGTTTGAAGGATGAATATTTAATTAGGGATTTAATGATATGTCTTGATAGAGTTATCCTCCCAGTACATTTAGGTACCATTTTTATTTGAATCCGTTCACGCATGACTGAACATCAGACAATCTTTACAAGACTGCCAGATTTCACTTGCGCCAACTTACTGGGTGGTGAATAAAACAGTGCATTGAACAAAGACAGGCCGACAGACACACACACACACACACACACACACACAAATACACACACACACACGCATACGCACGCACACACACAAGCACACACACACAAACAATTTTGATTATGACGATGATGATGAAGATGACGATGATTATGATTAAGATTAAGATGATGACAATGATGATGATATGGTGGTAGTGAATGTGTACTAAAGGGAAAGATTGTCAGGGAAATGCCACTTAAACATTCAGGGATCTTGATAAAAATCAATGCTTAATCAGAAAAGAAAAAAGAAAAGAAATTCTGAGACATTTGTAACCGTGTGTGTTGTCTGTGTTTGTGTGTGTGTGCGTGTGTGTGTGCGTGTGCGTGTGCGTGTGTGTGCGTATGTGTGTGCGTGTGTGTGTCTGTGTCTGTCTGCCTGTCTTTGTTCAATGCACTGTTTTATTCCTCACCCAGTAAGTTGGCGCAAGTGAAATCTGGCAGTCTTGTAAAGATTGTCTGATGTTAAGTCATGCGTGAAGGGATTCAAATGAAAATGGTTCCTAAATTTACTGGGAGGATAACAAACAATACAACTTTTAAAAAGTGGGACATTCTTTCTGACTCACCCTGTATTGTGCCATACCTTCTTTCTGCTCGATCCCTTACACTTTCAAAATATTTCGATAGGCCTACATAATATAACGAACCTCGAAAAGAATAATCGGAAAAGGGGCCCTTTAATTCTATTGTTATAATAGTATCATCATTCTAGTTATTCATATACTAATGTTCTTGCAGTGTGCTCTAAGCTGGTGCATTGTCGCATTGCGAGAGGCGAGAGAGCGCAGCTAGCGGGCATGAAAATCACTTTTGTATTACTTAATATGATATTTCTTCATGCAATTACATACGACAGTGGTTATTTATATTAAAGTTTCAAGAAATCTACGTTTTTCCATTTTTGTAATTGTAACTAAATTTCTCTCGCTGCATCCATAAATATATTTTGCAGCATTTTGCCGCGACACTCAGGGAGAAAAACGGTGATATATGAAACAGTGCCATTTATGTATGCATAGAACATAATAATACAACAAATAGGTGTAGAAAGTGGTCTTGGAATTGAGATAATAAAGTCAGAAAGACTCTTGGGACAGAATTCTGTAAACAAAATAGCTTGGCAAAAATAAGGACATAGAAAAAAGAATTAGAACATTTCGGGTAACAGAAGTTAGGAGAAACGTTACAAGATCATGTTTATGAATTGACGAGAGTGATAAACAGTGCGTATCTAAATATTATTCTGCTAGGGGCTCGCCAATGATTGACAGATGATGTCACAAGTAGATAAGATCTGGGTCATTTTTTTTAGGGTGGAGCTTAGCAAGTCTGAGAAAATTATTTTAAAAAATATTTAAAAATATATGAAAATATATTTAGATGTTTAAAAAACAAAATATGATTTGTATGCAGCCCTGTACATCGACAGGAATCAACTTATATGTGGATGTCAATGTGAAAGCGAAAGGCGAACATCATTAACAAGGTGTTATGAAAAAAGGAAAATTCAGAGAAGCACATCGGTGAAAGTTTGGGCACTCTTTGAATACAGTCCGGTGCTACCCACCCGATACAGATATAACTAGCAATAAAATTGTACTTTAAGTTAGTGTTTGACATTGCTTTGTCTATGATACTATATTAATCGAACGTATTTTGGAAATTTTAATAAATGGACTTAGTGACATGACTTTAAAGGAAATGTGAGTTTATATAAGCTATTATTCTCATAATTAGTGTTTTAGTCCTTATTTATTATTTTATTAATTCTTATTAATCTGTTCTTATCATTAACAAGTGCATTTACTGAATTTTGATCAAATCGCTAAAACCAGTGCCTTCTACTTGTGTGCATTGTTTGTTTCCGGCGTCAGATTTGCGATTAAAAAAAGTTATTTGATTTCAGTCAATATTTGAATGGCCCATGTGAATATGGAGAGCGAAAAAAAATAATACTCACTGCAGTAAGAGCACGATACATCCAACCTTCCCGGCAAGGTCTCGTACATTCTCTTCGTATGAAACTAGTAAGATGGTATTAAAGCGAGAACGTGTTTATACATTGTGCATGATGAACCTTTGGGATACTATGAACATGACATTTAATAGCCACATGCAGAAGTAAAGAGGGAACAAAGTAGACAAGCTTGTGTAGTTCTATTAATAATATGCAATGTGCCAACATAACACAAATGAATGAATCGTTTGTGCAATAACATTTAAAGAAACCACATAAAATAATACGTTGTGATAATAAAAACAGTGAACATAATGCGTTTCATGAAGAGAATCTTACATGGGTTTGAAAGTCGTGGAATCATACAGTGCGTCCCAGAAAAAACGAAACCGAGAATTATCGATGTTTTTATCATAACTTGATCACAATTATAATTAATAGATGACACATATTTGTAAAGCTTAGATCCTCCTCGTTCATTTGATGCAACTCGCATATTTCACGCTTGAGTGATTAAAGTGAATTTGAAGAGAGGAAACCAAAAAGTCATTTTGCGGACGGTATCCGAATTTCAAAGAGAAAATCACATTTCTAGAAAGTTGAGTTTCTGCCCTTTCATATGACACCTCAGTCAGGAAAAAGGAGCTAGGAATAACAAAGTTCTGTTTGTTTAAAGTAGTGCTTGCATTTCCATAATTTTATTAAACAAATTCGTTTTCACTGGCTGCCTGCAGAAGCAACAAACGGAATTAACAAAAGACTTAACTCCGTTTCGTTGACAATCAGCCGTAGACGAAAGACTTCATGCATGGCTGATTGTCAACGAAACGGAGTTAAGTCTTTTGTCAATTCTGCTTGTTGCTACGGCAGGCAGCCAGTGAAAACGAATTCGTTTGATAAAATTATGGAAATGCAAGCACTACTTTAAACAAGCAGAACTTTGTTATTCCTAACCCGTTTTTCTTGACTGAGGTGTCATATGAAAGGGCAGAAACTCGATGTATCGGTGTTCGGGTGCGGAGTGCGTGTATTACTATAAGTCGTTGCTGGACTGGACGAATATTATGCTTTTCGCGGTCCGCGTTCTAAATTATTGGAGTGCAGTGTCTTCCGGCGGGCGAATGTGAGATCTTGTTGATATTTCCTTGCGATTGGATTTCAATGCATGGCGGAAGTGGTCTTTTGGTATCTCATATTAGTATGTTATAGTATAGTATAGTATAGTATTTATTTTCCGTTTTAAAAACAAACATATAATACAAGTATATACATAGTGTAAATAAAACGGCTGGATAGCCCATATTCAGCTGTGCCAGGCACGACACTGCTGGTCTTCCATGGGGTCCAGGAATCATATACATAAATATAAAATATGACGTACAATTATTTACTAAATTAAAGGGTATAAGAAAAGGTACAATACACAGTTATAAATGCTTAAACTCTACAAAATGGTAGTTGTGTGAAAGGACTACGAAAGTCCATCCCCCCCCCCTCCCGGGTCTGGAATAGGTCAATTTATTATCAAGGTCTGGGTGATTGGGCATGTGAGTAGAACAACGTTAATTCGCGCTTAAAACTATTCAGAGTTGAGGCATTTCTAACAAGTACAGGGAGATTATCATAAGCAATAGCTCCTCTAAACTTAAAAGTTCTTTTCAAAAATCCAGTATTAGGCTTAGGCGTATATAGTCTTCCGCCAAAGCGTAAGTGGTATTCGTGCACAGAGATACTAAAAAGGTCTGAAATGTAAACAGGGGTCATCTCATTAAGTGATTTAAACATATAAGTTAGCAAATGCTGATTTCTCCTGTCGTGTAACGATTCCCAGTTAAGGGCATTGTGAATTTCTAAATTGGGTATATGAGAGTCGAGATTGATATGTAAAA